TATATATATATATAAAGGTTTGATTATTTTTTAAATAATAACTATTTCCCTCCAAAATAATTCTATTTACTATTTTAGGAAATTAATTTAACAATTTATGGTATATTTCAAATATCACTTAAGGAAATTGCGACTCATTATTTAAGGAAATGATATCAACCATAAAAAAAATTATTTTTAAGATACTTTAATTACTCAAATCATGTGAATTTGATTGATTTACCTAAATATAGGAATTCCGACTGCAATATCAATTATGTGATTTGGTAAAAGTCTTCCAACTAAATTATGTAACTAATTATTTAATAAGTGTTTTATATTTTTTGTGTAATTGTTTTGTGAAATACATTTTTAATATACCTTAATTACACAAATTGTGTAAATCCAAATGATTTATTCAATCTACATATAATTAGTATAATTACGAAAATATCAACTAAAACAATCAATTATGTGATTTTAAAAAATTTTCTAAAGAAATTGTGTTAATGACAATTTTTATTTAAATATCATTTAATAATTGTTATTTTTTTGTGTATTTAATTACTCATTTCAGGAAATTAATTTAACAATTTATGGTATATTTCAAATAATTATTTATAGAAATTGCGGGTTATTATTTAAGAAATTTACATCAACCATAAAAAATCATTTTCAAGACACCTTAATTACTCAAATCATGTGACTTTGATTGATTTACCTTAATATGGGAATTCCGACTGCAATATCAATCATGTGATTTGGTAAAACTCTTCCAACTAAATTGTATAACTAATTATTTAATAAGTGTTTTATATTTTTGTGTAATTCTTATGTGAAATGCATTTTTAATATATCTTAATTACGCAAATTGTGTAAATCCAAATGATTTATTCAATCTGCAAATAATTAGTAGAATTATGAAAATGTCAACTAAAATAATCAATTATGTGATTTGCAAAAAACTATTCTAAAAATTGTTTTAATGACATTTTTTATTTCAATATCAGTTAATAATTGTTATTTATTTTTTGTGTACTTAGTTACTCAAATTGTGGATAATTAAGAAAATAATTGAACCATAAATATTTACATTTTTAAGATACTCTAATTAAACTGTCGAGTAAATTTGGTTGATTTATTTAAGTATAATTTTTTTTTTGTAAAATAATTACAAAACAATTGTATTAATGGAAACTTCTATTTAATTATTTTTTAATAATTATTTTTGGGGTCCTTTTTATTTTTATCTATAAAAGATGTGGGTCTTGATTTTGTTTTATACGCTGGGCAATTAATTTTGCGGTAAACCTGAATATTATTTTTTGTATTTTATCGATAAAGCGTATGAATTTCAATTATTTGCTACACTATATATTATTCCAATGTATCCGTTTTATGCTAAAATAAAATCTCAACATTTTTATTTTATATTGCTAAGCATTTTACTCGATATTAATGAGAGAAAAATACAGAGAATACTATAGTTTGTATTGTGCATGAAATTTGTGAATAAAAATTTTAAATTGATACCTATTTTGAAATAAATATAATGTGATTTATTATTAGATACTTGTACCGTACGGTTGTGCACCAACTTTAAATAGGCATACTTAATGTAATTATTGCAAAATTTATATTTCATATAACATTTTTAACAAATTAATATAGGTAAGTTGTATTACGTATTGATTTCATATTTTTAATTTAAAAATATCATTTAATGAGCATTTATAAATATTAAAGAATATATCTTACCCGTGCATGGCACGAGATTTGTACTAGTAAGATAGAATAAGACTAGTATCTACAAAATTTAAGTAATGTTTAAATATTTTTTTAAAAAATATTTCTTTAACCTTTTATACCATTTTAACTATGTGTTTTTTAAACTAGAAAATTTCAATTGTAGATCAAGTATTACTAAGTATGAAATTTAAGTGAAGCTTAATTATGATAAATATATATTATTTTCATTTTAAAAAGTTTCAAATTATATAAGTTCAAAGTTGACATAAAATATATTAATAGCACACATCTATTTTTATAATTCGGTTCTTAATTTTAGTTCTACGGTTCGGTACGATATGAGACGGTTCAGTTCGGTTCTCGGTACAGATATTTGAAATCTCTAGAACCGGACTAATTATTTTTTCGGTTCACGGTCAACGATTTCAGTTTCAGTTCGATTCTTGGAACGATTCAAAATTTCTCCGAGTCCCATGCTCTGCCTTAAAAACATTTTTAAAATTAAATACATAAATAACTATAATTCTTTTTAGTTTTTAAATACATTTTTGAAAAAAAATATTATTAATTATATTTAAAATGACATAGTCACGTGCACGACTTACCATCTTATATTTAAATACACGACTTTCATCTCTAGCCTACTCCAACTCGTTTGAGACAAAAAGACTATGTTGTTGTTGTTGTTTTTAGCTTCAAATAGTTGTACTGTTTTTTAGCAGAGCAAGGTTACAGCGTAGTGCTTCCCGAGAGATTGCAGACTGGGAAATGGAATGTATACAGAAATCGGCGTTCTCCCTTCAAACTCATCACTACCTTTATCAATCATCCCCACATATCCAATTTGCATCATCATTTTGAGTAAGTAAGTCTTTGACCTACCATATATATATATATATATTATACATATTCCTTCGTCTTTGCTTTACATTGATCAAGAACAGGTTTTTTGCCTCTTGTTTTTGACCTTAATTTGGGTGATAAAAGACGCGCCGTTGAGAGATTCAGAAACAACAATTACTTGGGAACACGGGTTCGTGAAGATGGGACAGTTGGAGAGTAAGCTTATATCTCAAATTTCAATTTAGAACATTGATTTCCAGCTTTTGATTGATAAAATATAGGTTCTAGTGGGCGGAGCCACCCTTGGGCGAGGGTGTGTTCGAGCCCCATGTCCCAAAATAACTTTTTGCAAGCACGTCAATATGTGAAGTCATGGTACAGGTACAAATGGATGACATATGGTGAAGCAGGTGCTTCTCGATCAGCAATTGGTTCCGGTTTAATCAGTTATCAGTTACCAAAGGCAAGCTTGAATAGGATGATTCTTTTGTATGTTGAAGTGAATTTTGGTGTAGTAGAATCTAACATGAGGCTATTCTTACATTCTCTCTATATTTCTTTCATTCTTGTTTGTTTTCTTGTTTTAATTTTTGTGTTCATTTCATGTTATTTCTGCAGGGCAGTTGTGTTGGTCTGTATTTCATAAACCGGCCTGAGTGGCTTATTGTTGACCATGCCTGCTCTTCGTATTCCTTTGTTTCGATTCCCTTATATGACACATTGGGTTAGTAGTGATCAGGAAAATAACTATTACTTTATAATCCCATAATGGATCTTTATCAAAATACAAGGTGTTGACAGGTTTTTTTTTTT